CCCATAGAGCCCCTGCCCCCCCCACCGCAGCCCCCCTGCCCCCCATCCCACAGGGCCCACCGCAGCCCCCTGCCCCCCATCCCACAGGGCCCTGCCCCCCCCACCGCAGCGCCCTGCCCCCCATCCCACAGGGCCCTGCCCCCCACCGCAGCCTCTTGCCCCTCGCACCCCCCCAGCCGAGCTCCTCTTCTCCACCCCCTCGCCCAGCCCGTCCCTCGCTCTGCCCCCGCGCAGGGAGCCGGGCCGGGGCGGCGGCAGCGGCCACTACCGGGTAGGAGCTGCAGGTGATTCCCCATGTTGTTCTCGGGCTCTCCGCCTCCTTCCTCGGCAGCCATCGCTGTTTACCCGGAGAGGAGCCTGGGAAGCCGCCGGGCGGGAGGAGGAGGAGCCGCCGGGGAAGCGCTCCGACCCGCAGCCACGGCGAGCCGCGGCACAGCGACCCCTAGCGCCCAGCGGGGCGGGAGCTGCCGGGAGAGCCACGCGCCGGGCCGGGCCGGGCGCCCCTCACCGTGTCACGTCCCGGGGCGGGGCGAGGCGTGAGGAACCTTCCTCGTGCTACCGGCAGCGGCGGGGTCTGGAGCGAGGATCCCGCTCAGAGCGGGGGACGGGGAGGCTAATGGCGCCCCCCGGCCAGGCCGCCCACGGTGGTGAAGTGTCCGGCCCGGGCGCGCTGCAGGCAGCAGTTGATCGCTCCCCCCCAGGGCTGCGGGTTCCCTGTGGCCCCTTCGTCTCCCCGCCCCAGCCTGGACTTGGGAAGAGAGACGGACGGAGGCAGCCTGCAGCTGGCGCCGCTGCTTTTGGCATCAACTGGTTCCTGTACTTTCCACTAGGGAGATACTTGCTTCAACCCCAGGCAGCCCTTGCCCTCAGTCTCATTATCGTGGCTTCAGTCCATCTGCCCCCTTCCTTCCCTCCCTTCAGTGTCCCTCTTCCTTGCTTTGGCTTTCCACTTAGCTGATCCATTCCTTGCAAAAACACCATCCGCCACCAATCCCTTGGGACAAAAAAATGCGACTCTACTAAGACTTGGGCAACCCATCACTGTATGTTATATCCCTCTCTCCCACCCTTCCTCGCTCCTGACGCTTTTGATTGTAAATTCCTCAGGGCAGGGACTGTTTGTTATTTTATACTGTCTTTAGCACACTGGCCTCCAGGCATTGTAGTAATACAAATAATAACAAGAAAAGTGGTCCAGCTGAGCAGAAGGCCTGAAGTAAACAAACTGCAGGGAGCAAAGTGAAAGTGCAGTAAATTATGCTCCCTGCTAATCCTTCCTAACATTCCAAAAAATGCCCCTTTTTCTCTGCACAGCTAAAACTCTCAGCTCCGATCTTGATTTCTGTAACTTCCTTCTTTTAGTCCTTCTGGATACCCATCTCCCTGCCACAATTTCAGAGTAACTGAATTTGTATCATCCCTCTGCAGTCCACTCCAGGAGTCCCCAGTCAAGTCTCAGGCTTCTAGCTTTCAACTGTCTCAGTACATTTGCATTTTATTCCATGCTGACCCTTAGGCTTAATGTGCCTTCCCTTCCCCTTCCTTCTTTTAGTCCTTCTGGATACCCATCTCCCTGCCACAATTTCAGAGTAACTGAATTTAAATTTAAATTCTGGATACCCATCTCCCTGCCACAATTTCAGAGTAAATGAACTTGTATCATCCCTCTGCAGTCCACTCCAGGAGTCCCCAGTCAAGTCTCAGGCTTCTAGCTATCAACTGTCTCTGTACATTTGCATTTTATTCCATGCTGACCCTTATGCTTAATGTGCCTTCCCTTCCCCTTAACAGCATATTTATTTACAACACAATGCTTTAATTTTTTTGAAACCAACAGTGAGAATTATCTTCCAAAATATGAGATGGGATTACAGTATCTAATGGCCCATGTTCACAAAATGGTGCTCTCAAGAAATACTCTTGGCTCATATTTGTAATATGGGACTTTTTGATCAAATGCATTTCTGAGTTAATCCATCATGGAACAAACACCACTCTGGTCTTCTGCACAAAAATGTGCTTTGGATAATGATATTTGTCATTAGGAACAGGATTCATGTACTTTCAAGTAAGAAACTCATTAGGGAGTCCACTGTGTGCTTTGAGGCCAGATCTTACAAAACTAGAGATGGAACTAAACTGAAACCCCAGATAGGAACATGCTAACCCTGCCTGAGGTTGGGGGATGTTTGAAAAGTGAACCCAGATTAGTATTTGTGGGCCAAATTCTCAGATGGTCTAAACATATTGGCTTTAGTGTATCTATATTGATTTACACAAGTCGAATATCTGGTCCTACAAATGGCCCATACTTTATAATGGGCCAACTCCAAAATGCAGATCTTAACACCTCAAAGTTTTGATGCCTTTGAAACCTGTTTTTTTTTTTAATCCAAATTTTTCAGTACGAGGATCTCTACTCAGCACTCCTAATGCAGCTCCAGACATGATGTTGATTGCTGTATGAACATGAACACTGACAAATACTTTAGAAATAATATTCTTCAAACTAGTCAAAACCTAGATCCTCATCCCAGGATATGTGTTTTTGAAGTGGTAGAATCTGATAGGAAGTTTGAATATCTCAGAGAATAGATATTTTCAACTCACTTTTACTTACAAAAGAGTATGATGTAGCCTGAAGTGTTTCCCAGTACTGCTAAAAGATTTTTCAGAATCAATAACAGCAAAAAGGCAGTTTATTTTAATGGGCATCTGTTGGTATCATCAGATACTTTTCCAGTGATCCATAATGTGGAACAGTCTGCATTTTGGACCCAGATATATGTTTGTTACATACTACCAAAAAAAAAAAAAAAAAAAGTCAAATCAACGTGCGTGTCCTGGTGTTGCCAACCTCAAGCATTCAAAAGTCATGAGTTAGCATCCACAAAAATCATAAGTTTGGCTTAAAAACTCAAGATATTTAAAAAAAATACATGCAGAGTTTTGGGTTTTTTTGCCTTTTGGTTTTTGCATCTTGGGTACATGCATGCTTGGGGTCACATGTTCACCTTCTCCTCATTCATGAGGGCTAGTGTATAGGAACTAGGTACTATCCCTTTAAACCGTTTGGGAGCCTTTTAGTTAGCATCTTTGTCTTTTGTTTAGAAGCCATTCAGAACCCTGCTGGAGCAGCAGTGTACATAAGTAGCTATGTCTTGTATATTTGTATTTAATTAATAAACATAGTTATTTGAAATCCAACCATGCTATTGCAGTTTTCCAAAAAAAAATAATACTGTATAGAAAGCCAAAGACATGACTAGATTTTTTTTTTTAAATGAAAGCAGAGATCTCAACTCAAGGAGTTGGGATATTAAGAAAAACACTAAATATTATTTGGCTCATGATAAAATTGTGAGCGCAGAGAATGCAGACTGGGAGACAAGAACTCTTGAGTTTTAATCCTGTCTTTGACAGGGACTTCTCCCATGGCCTTGGATAAGTCATTAGACATGCCTCGGACCTATTTACAAAGGGGCTGAGCATCCATAATTCCAGTTGGTGTCTAAGATTAGAAACCCAGAATTAGACCATTGAAAATGTAGGCCTCAACCTCTGACTCAGTTTCTTGCTGTGTAAAATATGGATGATAATTTCTACCAGCCTTCTGCACAGTGGCTTTGTCTGCAGTTATGTTAATTATATTTGTTATTTATTTTGTTCTAAATTTTGCTAAATGATACTTTATTTCAATTTTTGAACATTGTTAAATATAAATTTCTAACAGGGTTTTTAAATTGATAGATTAATATCGGCTTTTGTACCACATCAGGTAATCACTAGGCTGAAAGGTCTGATATCACAAGGTTTAATTCTTTAATCCATCCTAGCAGAGCTCAGTCTGCTCCAGAGTTCATACCAGAGTTAGAAGTCAACTTAACTTGTACACTTGTCGTTGTACTAACCTGGGATCTGATAGAAGAGGGCAAGCAGCAACACGAGGATGGGTTGTCAGAGACCAGAAAGCTACTATAAAAGTCTCAAACTATTTTAGTTAATCTGGTCTGAGCCAGTGAGTGTGTATGTATATCCCAAGCTATTTTAGTTAATCTGGTTAGTGCCAGTCTGTCTGTGAATAGCTTAAATTATTGTAATTTTAAACTAAGTCAATGCACTTGAAGGGGCCCTTATCTCTCTTCCTTCATTTTTTCCTTTGCACCTGTCTATTGGATACACACAGAGACAGCTGCAGTGAATTTGCATTTTTATTATTTCAGGAGTACTGTGTTTTAGAACACTGGGATATGAGAATACACTTTACACACTTTTCTCCCTGAGTCTGTGGCAGGTTATCTGCCTGTGTCCTAGAAGACAGTGTTATAGTGGAGGGTTAATGGCCATACATTACTTGCAAGACTACTGATGGCTAATCTCAGAGTGGCTTTGGTGTCATAGGAGGGTAATCACCTTCCCAGAGGAAAACAACAGAAGAGGAGCAGCAATATAAAGGAAGTAAAAAAAATCAGTAAGTTAGGATTCCAATGGTTAGTTTGGCATTGGCAGAGAGTGACACTAGTGATATAGAAAATAAAGACCCTAGGTGTGAGTACACAGAACATACACATTAATTTCATGTGCAGTTTGCAGTATTCCATGGCTGCAAACATGCCAACACCACACTCATCAGCAAATTATATCCATGAAATAGAATTTACATTCTTTGGCTACTAAAAATAAAGGCCTCTACCCAGAAAGCAAAAGAGAGAATTCCACTTCTGTAACTACGCCAGTAGAGGGAGTTGATATATTCAGTCAGGGCCTTATGATTTAATTATTCGATCACAGAAACTGTTCTATAATTTACCTATTGTTCAAGTTGCTTCTTGCCCCCTGACCCTAACACACACAGATATTCTCTCCCGCTTTGTTCAGCATTTCTCCCACAATGTGGAATGTAGTAGATTTCATGTGCTTGCCCCCAGCCTGTATTCAAGAGGGGAAAATGTGGTTGGTTAGGGGATGGAAGAGTGGCAGCCAGTGTTGCACTGGAGAGAGCTTACTGCCACATCAAACTCCAGTTCTTTTAGAGCTATTTGCCCTCCTCAGCATTGCTTGAGAGAATACAGTCTCCAAAAAGCAGTTTTCAAAAAGTAGCAAATACGAGCTCCCTCTGCCTAACATATATTCCTGAGTGAAGTGTAAACTTCTGTATTTAAGATTAATGTACTTTATTGCTATGATTGGAGTCAACAAATGTCATTGTTACAAAGAGATTTGCAAGTTCTTTTTCATAGCATGTGATCACTGGTTGGTCTTTGAAGAAATGGTTCATTGTTAGTTTTGTGATGTATTTTGGGGGGAGCTGTGGCAAGCAGCAGGAGAGTTTGCTCTCTACCTTAAGCTTTCAAACTGCAACCAATTCTTGGGGCAGTGTTGCTCCTCGGGAACCAGGCATTGCTATCTTGGCTGAGGTTTCTA